CCTTTTTTTTTTTTTTTTTTTTTTTTTTTTTAAAGATGACCGGTAAGGGGATCTTAACCCTTGACTTGGTGTTGTCAGCACCATGCTCAGCCAGTGAGCAAACCGGCCATCCCTATATGGGATCCGAACCCGTGGCCTTGGTGTTATCAGCACCGCACTCTCCCGAGTGAGCCACAGGCCGGCCCCCCTCCACTTTTTTGACCTGAAAAGAACACAGCTCAAGAAAGATGAGTGAGTGGCATGCAGAGCAGATATGGACCCACCCTGCAGGCCTGAGTCCAGCCTAGATCAACTGAACTCCAGCTGACCTGTGGACATATAAGAGAAATAAGTGCTTATTATTGTAAGCCTTTGCACTCTGGGGTTATTTTATTACATAGAAGTATTATAGCCATAGCTGAGGCATGATCTTAGGAGTCGGAGCCTATTGCTGTATGGACAAGGTTAAGGGGTCAATTCCTGCCCTCCTGCTCTTTCAGTTTATACTGCCCTCTGAACCCCACTAGCCAACACTCTGGTTTGTCCTGGTCACAGGAAAGACATGTAAAAACATGGGGATAGACACAACACCAAAAGCATGATCCTTGAAAGAAAAAAATTGATGCATTGGACTTCATTAAAATTAAAAACTCTGCTCTGCAAAAGACACAGTTAAGAAAAGGAAGAGACAAGCTCTGAGCTTGGAGAAAATATTCACAAAACATATATCTGATGAAGGACTGGTTCCAAAGTATAAAAAGAACTCTTAAAACTCAACAATAAGAAAACAACCATTTTAAAACAGGCAAAAGATCTGAACAGGCACCTCACCAAAGAAGATATACAGATAACATATAAAACATACTCAAGGGGCTGGCCAGTTTGCTCACTTGGGAGATGGTGGTGCTGGTAACACCAAGGTCAAGGGTTCAGATCCCTGCACCAGCCACCTGCCCAAAGAAAAAAGATGCTCCATACCATGTCATTAGGGAAATGCAAATTAAAACAACAGTGAGGGCTGAGCGGTTAGCTCAGTTGGTTAGAATGTGGCCTTATAACATCAAGGTCAAGCGTTCAGTTCCCCATACGAGCCAAACACCAAAAAAAAATTGAAAAATAAATAAAACAACATTGAGATACCACTACACACCTATTAGAATAGCTAAGATCAAAATACTGATGACACCAAATGCTGACGAGGATGTGGAGCAACAGGAACTCTCATTCATTGCTGGTAGGAATGCAAAGTTATGAAGTCACTTTCGAAAACATTTGACAGATTCTCACAAAATTAAACATACTCCTGCCATACAATCCAGCAATTGTGCTCCTTGATACTTACCCATATGAACTGAAAACTAATATCCACACAAAAACCTGCACACAGATGTTTAGAGCAACTTTATTCATAATCGATATAACTTGGAAGTAGTCAAGATGTCCTTTAGTAGGAAAATGGACAAACTGTAGTACAACCATATAATGGACTATTCGGTGCTAAAAAGAAATGACCTATCAAGCCATGAAAAGACATGGAGGAACCTTAAATGAGTATCCCTCTGTGAAAGAAGCCAAGCTGAAAAGATTGCATGCTGTATGTTTCCAACTATACAACCTTCTGGAAAAGCAAAACTATGGAGACAGTAGCAAGACCAGTGATTACCAGGGGTTCGGGAGGAAGGAAGGAGGATTGAGTAGGTGGAACACAGGGGATATTCAGGGCAGTGAAACTATTCTGTATGATATTATGGAGATGGATACATATCATTATACACCTGTCAAAAACCATAGAATGTACAACACCAAGAGTGAACCCTAATATAAAGTATGGACTTTAGTTAACAATGTATAAAAAGGGGCTGGCCCGGTGGCGCACTGCTACAGTGCGCCGCTTGGGAAGCGCGGCGGCCCTCCCGCCGAGGGTTCGGATCCCACATACAGACCGGCCGCTCACTGGCTGAGCGAGGGGCGGGAGCAACACCGAGGGTTGCGATCCCGTGGCCGGTCCCGGCCCGGTACGGGCACGACACTGAGGGTTGCGATCCGTTGCCAGTCACAAAAAAAGACAAAAAGGATAAAAAAAAAAAAAAAACAATGTATAAAAAAAGAAAAAGAAAAAAGAATGTATCACTATTGGCTCATTGATTATAACAAAGGTACCACACTAATGCAAGATGTTAATAATGGGGGACGTGTGGGTGAGAGGATGAAGGAGTGTACAGGAACTCTGTACTTTCTACTCATTTTTCTGTATACCTAAAACTGCTCTTAAAAAATTAAGTCTATTAATTAAACAAATAAACCAACAAGCAAAAAGTATGGAGATAAATATCGTGCCACCACTTCTACGGGAAACTGCACACATTCCTCCCCTGGAAGAAGATAAAGGAAGGCCAGGGGAAGATGCCTGTTCTAAGGCACTATTGACCTGCTTCAATCTGGTCTCTAGCTGCAGCTGTGAATTTCGATATAGAGAAAATATTTGTTTTGTCATTCCCCTGTGATTTGGAATAAAACTGCTTTCTTATTCCCCTACCTGGGCCCTCAGTTTTTTCATGTGTACATTCTCGTCACAGTATGTTCTGAAATAAGACTATATTAATCTGCACTCTATCTGCAGCCCTTCCCTCTGGGAAGTTGGCAGTTAGGCTAGTTGTCCCCATATACATGCTCCCCCTTCTTCTAGAGAAATAGAATTTTTATCAGGGGCCTATGGCCACCCAGAATGAAGTCTATCCTTCCCACTCTCTCTTGCAGCAAAGTGTGGCCATGTGATTAAATTCTGATCAATGGGCTCTAAGCAGAAGTGTGGTGTAGCAGTTTCCAGGAAACTTTCCTTTTTTTGAAGGAAATAATTTATTGTACATATTTGTGGGGTACAGAGTTGACTATCAATACTTGTGTACAATATGTGATGATCAAATCGGGATAATTAGTATATTCATCATTACATAACATGATCATTCTTTATGTTCCTTAACCAATTTCTCACTAACCCGCCTCCCACTCCCCCTTTCCCACCTCTAGTAACCACATTTCTGTTCCTTCCTTCTGAAAGTTCAACATATTACTGCAATTGCCCTTCCTTCCTTCTTTCCCTCCTTCCTTCCTTCCTTCCTTCCTTCCTTCGCTCCCACTTATGACTGAGGACATGTGATATTTCTTTTTCTGTGACTGGCTTATTTCACTTAACATAATTTTCTCCAAGCTCATCCATGTTGCTGTGAATGACAGAATTTCATTCTTTTTTATGGCTGAGTGGAATTCCATTGTGTACATATGCCACATTTTCTTTA